TGAACACTCAAACAGATTGGTGGAGCTAGTTACCTCCCATTCAATGGTTGAGATTAATGTAACAATAGACTATGGAGAGGTGACTAATATTGGGAACCTATCTAATAGAGGAAGAGGAAGGTGTAGCAAGAGAGGTGACAGAACTTCATTAAGAGGCAGAGGGATTAGAGGGGGTAAACAAAACAACCAAAGGCTTGAAAGGTACAGGGTCACATCTTATCTGCTTAAATGATTATGTTTAAGTCCGTATATTGGAATATCAGGAGCATTAAATTCAATGGTGCTCTTGAAAGACTTAAACAATTTATTACTTCAGAAAAACTACCATTTATTACCTTGAGTGAACCTTTCTATGAGGCTAATAAACTGGACCAATTTAAAATAAGTCTTGGTTCTCAAAATGCCTTTGCCAACTCTAATAGCCAAATTTGGATCTTTTGGGAAGATAATATTGACTGTACGATTGTTGAAGAGGATGAACAACAGGTTACTTGCAAGATCAAAGTTAATGGAGTATCTCTACTATGGACCTCTGTATATGCAAAGTGTGATGATCAACTAAGAAAGGGTTTATGGAAGAGTCTTAGAACTTTAAGTGATTCATACAACCTTCCATGGTTAGTAACAAGTGACTTTAATTGCATGATTGACCCAGTGGAAAGAAAGGAGGATCTCTCCATAGAATGTCCAAAAGTTTGTCGTTCATTCAGTGTCTCATGGATTGTGAGCTTCTGGATGCTGGCTACACTAGTTCTGATTTTACTTGGTGCAATAGTTGGTGTCCAAACAAAAGACTTTGGCAGTGATTAGATAGAGTATTTATCATGATTGGTTGAACCTATTCTACTCGGGATTCTCATTTGATCAGAACAGGATCTGACCACTCGCCTCTACTAATCACTATGAAATCTAATATGAGAGACCCTATCAAATATTTTAGGTTCTTGGATTTCTGGACTGAAAAAGTTGACTTTATGTCAGTAGTGGAGCAAGCATGGAATGTGGATATGCAAGGTTCGCCATTATGGAAGCTTCATTTAAAACTCAAGAATACATGCAGGAAGCTGTCAGAGTGGTCAAGGAATTCTGTTGGGAACATATTTAATTCTAAAAAGGAGCTGGAAGAGAAGGTTGCCGATCTGGAACAAGAGTCTATCAATGACAATTCTGATATTAATAGAGATTCCCTTAACTAAGAAAATGCTGAACTAATCAGAGTTATTAAGAAGGAGGGGACATTCTGGAAACAAAAAGCTGGTATCGGGTGGTTTGTTAAAGGGGAGGTGAACTCCAGGTTCTTTCATTTTATGGTTAATGGTAAAAAAGAAGATTGACTCTAACAATGATGAAGAAGGAGGATGGTAGCTGGATTATTGGTAATGATAGTATTGCTCAGGAAGCTATTCATTTCTTTCAGAAGCAATTTACAAAGGAGCACAAATAGAAAAAAATTTCCATTACTAAATAACATTCCCAGAATCATTGATGGAGATGATAACAACAAGTAGATTGCACCACCTTCTATGGAGGAACTTAAGGAGATAGTTTTTTTTCTATGAGCACCCACAGTTCTCCTGGACCTTATGGGATATCAGGAAAATCCTATCAAACATGTTAGGAAATCATCAAGGAGGACTTATTACTAATGGTGCTTGATTTTTTTGCAGGTACCCTTTTACCAAAGCATTTACTCATACTTGTCTGATCATGATACCCAAGGTGGTCTGTCCACAACAATTCACTGAGTTGATACCTATCAATCTCAGTAATTTCTCTTGCAAGATAATCTCAAAGACTATGAACCAAATATTGAGGCTTTTGAAACAGAAATTGTTATCTCCATGTCAGATGGGATTTATTAAAAGGAGGGCAATCACAGAAAATATTATGCTAACTCAGGAGAAGGTTCATAATATTAATCAAGCTCCACAGATTGGCATGTAGTCATGAAACTAGACATGGCCAAGGCTTATGACAGAGTGCATTGGGAGTACTTATGCTAGGTTATGAGACAAATGGTCTTCTCGGAGATCTGGATTGACAGAGTTTGGAGATTGATCAATAATGTCTAGTACTCGATCAACCTTAATGGCACTAGACATGATTTTTTAAATCTTCCAGAGGGATCAGACAATGGGATCCAATATCCCCTTCCTTGTTTGTGATTGGAGCTGAACTACTATATAAATTGATGAACATGCTCCATGAGAGTGATTTTATTCCATACTTAGCAGAGAAGAATGGCCCATTGATCACCCATTTGTGTTATGCAGATGAGACTATTCTATTTTCATCAGGTGATTTAATTTCTCTCAGCTTGATGATGAACAGACTAAGAGCATATGAATGTATATCTGGTCAAAGTCAACAAAGAAAAATCTGGATTCTATGTCTCCTCATAGTTTGATGAAGATAATATTAATGATGTCAAAAATATTACTGGTTTTCCACACCTTTAGTTCCCCATGCAGTACTTATGTTGTCATATTTACTTGGGAAGGAAGAAAATTATCCACTTCAACAATATGGTATCCAAAGTCTCTAGAAGAATGTAAGGTTGACAAGAGAAACTTTTTTCCTTGAGAGGTGAAGCCGATCTAATAATATCTGTTCTTCAATCTCTCCCACTTGATCTGCTAACTATCTTGTATCCTCCCAAAACTATTTTATACCAGATTGAGAGGATAATCTCTAATTTCTTTTGGGGGAAGATTGAAGATAGAAACAAGGTGCACTGGATATCATGGGATCATTTATGCTATCCCACCATTGAAGGAGGAGCTGATTTTAGGTCTCTACATAATACTTGTAGAGCTTTCTCAGCTAAAGTTTGGTGGAATTTTAGAACCAAAAAAGGATTGCTAAAAGATTTTCTAGAGGCAAAGTACTGCGAAATAAAACATTCAATAGCTAGAAAGTGATCATATGATCAATCTCACACCTGAAAAAGGCTCATGGATATCAAGGAAGATGCTGAAAAATTCATTTTATGAAAGATAGGCAAAGGCAATGTGGCATTTTGGTGGGATAATTGGACTGGAAGAGGTGCATTGTCTAAGCTCAGGCAACTACCTAATGCATCTAGGCATACTAAGGTCCTGAACTTCATTGATGAGGGAAGATAGAATATGACCAAGCTTAAGGAAGTCTTCCCGGATAGTTTCATTAGCAATATTTTGAAGATTGAGATTTATGGGAGCAGCGAGGATTTTCCGATTTGGTCAATTGATTCAAATGGATTCTTTACTTGTAAATCGGCATGGGAAAATATGACAAACAAAGTCCCAGATCTTTCACTGCATCTATGACGTGGAACAAGAGAATTCCTTTCAAAATCTTATTTTTTATGTTGAGGGTGATTCAGTCCAGAATCCCTACTGATGAAATGATTCAGAAATTTGGTAGAATGTTTCCATCCATGTCCTCCTGTTGTGCTAATCACAATGAGGAAACCGCCACTCAACTCTTTTGCAAAAGTCAGATTGCTACACAAGTTTGGCTATTCTTTGGTAGATATTGTGGTATCACCTTGAGAATGAGAAATATCAAACAGATTCTAATGTGTCGGTAGCTAGCAAAAACAAAGAATAAAATCCATGCTGCTTTGTTACAATAACTACCATTAGTCATCTGTTATGAGATTTGGAAGAATTGGTGTGCTTCCAGATTTGAAAACATTTACATGTTCGACAGGTTCATAATTCAGCAAGTGTGTAAATATATGACTCTCTTTTTGAATAATAAATTCCCCAAAGTTACTCTTCCTCATCCTTGGCATGCTTTATGCACAATAGTACAAATGGCTAGACAAGTCATTACCAGCCAATTGGCAAGGTGGTATAAACCTGATGATGGATGGGTAAATTTAAACCCGGATAGTTGTAGTAAAGGGAATTTAGGAAACTCTGGCGGAGGGGGAATACTCAGAAACAGTCAAGGTGCTTGCATTTTTGCATTTGCTGATTATTATGGCACTTGTAGTAACAACATGGCTGAGGTCAAATCTATGCTTTAGGGTATAAAAACGTGCATTACTAATCGATACTCCAATGTAATAGTTGAAGATGACTCGCAATTGATAGTAGACATGATTAACAACAAAATGAAGGTTCCTTGGCACGTCTAACATATCATAGACCAGATTATTCTTCTCTCAAGTAATGGTAATTTTTGCTTTGTCCATTCATTCAGAGAGGGTAATATGGATACAGATCAATTAGCAAACATGGGTGAAAAGGAGAGAAATCGAGTTATCTTTGATGATGAGAGCTCCTTACCAGATTATGTGACGACAATTGTGAAATTGGATCAGCAGAGCATTCCAAACTTCAGATTCAGATCAAGGAAGAACTATCTTGTAATTAATGATGCTAATCTTAGATGGTGATGATGTTTGTATAGTTTTTACAGCTATGCTCATAGCATCTTTTTGTGAAGCTCGATGTACAAATACTATAAAGTATGTAACCACCAAAGCTACGCAGCATCTTATTTATCAGATATCACAAGAATGAGTACTATCATTCTCCATCATGATTTGGAGGCTATGGTTTATGTCCTCCTCCGTGTAAGGTCTAACCTAAACCCCCACCATCATGGTGGACTTCTGGAGGGGGGGAATCATTCTTATTTTTTGGTTATCTGTAATTATGAACAATCTATTTAAAAAAATTCAAAAGGAAAAAATGCGCTTTTAGATAGAAGTTAGATATACCACTCATCACTTGTTTCGATTAATATTCACCAAGCGCTAGCATGCTCAAAAATAATACTATTCTTATATTGTGTATTGCTATTTTTAAAATCACTACATGTAGCTACTGTTCACTGTTATACTCAATCAAACATAAAGTTATCTACAAATTGACTTTCAACGGTAAATTATTTTAGTAACATCCAAATTATACTGCAGTTAGAATCAAGGAGTAAAATGATGTAAAAATGAGCGTTAACCGAATTCCTTCATAATCCAATAGACACAGAAGTAGAAGACGAGAAGAAAAAGGGCAAATAAGTTATTATTTTATTTTCATAATAAGAAATCTCCGAGGATCACTTGGTGCTCGTTTCGAAACTCAATTCATAATGGGCCTGCTCCTCAACTCTAATCCACTCAACTACTACTAGCTTTCTTTATCCACGATACGGTGTGAACGGGTGACATGCATCTAACTCACGCATCACATGCTGCACTCTGACCACCAAGCCGTAGCCGTAAGGGCAAACAAGTTCTTGTTATTGGTCTAATAAAAATTCTAATCAACAACTAGAATACAACAAAGATGGAATTATTAAACTAGAAGCACAAACAACTGACGAGGCGAGTTGGCTCAGTGATAAGTCACCTCCATCTCCAACCAGTTAGGCCTCGGTCTCGAGCCAAGTTGGGGGTACGTGAAGAACCAGTGTCGACCCCCCGAGAATGGCTGAAAGAGAAGAAGCACAAAGATACAATTACTGCACACCGCTCCACCTCGCCCAATCCACGAACTGCATTCCTGCATATATATTGTTGGCAAATCGCACACCAACTGTGAATGCCATTGCAACAGGCGGAAACTGCTTTCCTACCGGAGAGGATTCCACCAGACGTTCTAACCCGGTTACAATCTGTAACCTGGTATTGGAAGAAACTCCAAGGAAAACACCTGCACATAACATATCCAGTAACGAAATCAGAGCTGGTAGGCAGACAAGACCTTCATCTTAGATTGAGGTTGTTAAAAAAAAACAACGCTTGCAATGACGATGCACCAAGAAAGCTGGAATGCAGCCTGATTCAAGAAATACTAGGGTACAATATGTATTTTTAAGACTTCAAGTCTAAAAATTTTCAACCTTTACCAGATGTAAGGGAAAGTTAATTTGGTCGATCTTGTAAAGAAATGTGTGCTCTCAATATCTTGATTGTGTCATCACTCTCAGCTTTGAATGTTCAGTGACATCAATAAGCATTTACACATGCTCTATAGGGAGCGAAGATCCCACTAATAAATATTGCACATTCTGTACTACTATATCATTTCATGCAATATCATCATTGACTTAGTTCATTTGGTGGAAAAATTGCTATACAATGCAGGAAATCGTTAAATAACCAGAAGATGGTCTCAATGGAAGTAGTTCAGCATTCCAATGGATTCAATGATAGTATACAGGAACAATTGAAAAGAGATAAACAGGTGTCAGATAATATAAAGCAGGCAGCATACATAGTATAGCTGGTGGATAAGGGTTTTGGAAATCATTTGCTTTACGAACTTTATTATCAAAAGCAGTAACAATTAGGAATGAAGTCAATAATGACGGCATACCCCAAAGTAATGCACTCTTTACAAGAGGTGGAACAGGAACATCATCCTCTGATTTCTTGACGCTCCTGATGAAGAAGCATGTTAGTAAGAAAGGAACAACACAAACACTAAGTTAAATGAAGTATAACATCTACTTTGATCAACAACAAGAGCAGAAAATCTGCATGGGACTCCCATCAACCACTGGGGTACAACGTACAAGAATGAAAAGGAGAATATAGCATATTGATAAAAAGTTGTGCTGAACAAATATTCCTTAAGAACTTAGCTTTCAAGGTTCTACTTCTGATATTCATGTATTTTCTATGTAATATCGTCCGCCACTCTGATTTGCTGATATTCTCAGTGTTATTCCTACTCAGAAGAACATCACGACATACTAGGCCAGTATTACTAACTGACCAATCCAATGTATCTGTTTTGTTTCGTGTTGTTTTACTCCTTTTCTGGATAGGAATTTATCAGGGAAAGGATTTTAGCTTAATATTAACCAGTTGAAAAATAGCTGAAGAGAGACGTATCAGATAAAAGAAGTACAGTAGATACACCTACTTCATTGCTTATGGGGTTAACCCATAAAATGCACGAGGTCTCCTCGACTTCTCATAATTCAATCACTATCTGCAAACCTGACTTCTCCTTATTCTTTTTCTTGTTTTCAGAATTAGTAAAGAAGACACCATCGAAGATTAGATGAAATATATTATTAGCATCAGACATTAGTATGATAAAAAATTGCAATCAAAGCATTAAAAGGCCTTTTAGCACTCCCCATTTACAGACCTTTTCATATTTCCCAAGCCAAATACAATTTATCCTGGTTCAGCCACGAGCTCAGCTGGCAAGCAAAAGGTTGATCAAATTAAACCTCTTTATACTTTTAATTAACACTCTTCTCCCAGTACAACCCCTTTCTGCAGCATCTGCATTCTGCCTTGTGAATGTATCCCTACTCGAGTTCCTAAATTTGAAATTAGATGGTCCTTCTTTTGATAAGAAGAAATTGGATATCTGATCTTCCTCCCTTGGGCATCTATCACTTTCAAACTGTTCCGGTACTACTATCTGATCAGATCTTAATGCAACCTTAAAATACCTCTCAATCTTAAAATTATCTAATGCTGGAGTTGTGCCCTATAACGATAAGGTTTTACAAACCCGAGCTTCTAAGTTTGATCTAAAATAACTTTGGATGTTAACATAATTGACAATCGCCAAAGATGCATACTCTTTCAGAATTTAAAAGGTTAGAGACGACCTTAAACAAAATAGCTTTGACGATTCATTACATTAGAAAGTACTTTGGCTTAACACAGCTGAAATTTATTTTTTGGTTTTAGCTTTTCTCTTTTCACCTGAAATTACTCCTTTAAGCATCTCCACCCAGCCTTTATTTGCTTCGAACCAAATGCTCTGCCCTTTTGTCTGTGACAAAATAAAAAAGAGATTATCTCTTTCATTTTGAATCTACCCACAATCACCTTGCACCTGTACCCTCCCCAAAAACGTCCTTAAGGCCTTTTCTGTTGACCATTTTCCTCCACCAAATTGTATAACCATTGTCTCCCACACATCCACAGTCCTCACATTAGCAAACAAAACCAGAGAATGGCAAGATACCCATTAAAGCAGGATTAGCAAAGAAATGGTGGTAAAACAAAGGGAACGGCTTCATGCCGAGATTTAGCTCCTTAATCCTATTATATCAAACACCTAAAACTAGTTTATGAAAAAGCAACAAGAAAATTAATTTCTTATTTTTCAGAAGGAAATGAAAAATTTAATATCTTGATACTCAAATATACATATCTAACTAGAGAAATAGTATACTTATTTACAACAAGGTGACATACTAGGGTTTGAGTATCGAAATGGAAAACTCTGGTTTACGGATCTCTACTAGTATGAGTATTGGGTCTCAATGAGTCCCAAGTTCAAAATCCAGGAAGGAGCAAGTCAGAAATTTAATAAAAATATCTCCACAGCAGCATCTATGTAAACTAAATCAAGAAAAGGAAACAACAACAGCAAACAACAAAAGTAACAGCAAGAATAATAGTATCAGTAATATCAGAGAGTAACACACCGCTTGGCAGTCATTATCATATTTGCAATTCCTTGACCAATGATACCACATCCAAACCCCACGAATCCATATAGAATGCCCTAAAGAAAAATAAAGAATTTAAGATAGGTAATAGAATGTAGTTATGAAAAGAACTGGAGAGAATGACATGTGTATACAGAGATACTGCGATCCATACATAGCATATACTTCAATTTTACCTTATAAAAATAAGCAGCAATTCTCTGATTCACTGTAAATCTACACCCTGGCCTTTCGGCCTCAAAGACACTGCAGCCAGATGAGTATTTAAAGTGAAAATCTTCTAAATAGTGCTCAATATTTTTAATGCAATAATATCAGAGGGAAAATATAAGTCAAAACCTGCTTGGAAGCGCTCCATAAGCTCTCTGCATACGACCAACAAACCCTTGAGATACAGACGGTTGTCCAATTCGAGCATATGGTGCTAGCAAGCCAACTAGAGCTACATTGACAGCAACACCGACCAACATATCTGCAGCATATAGTTCAAATTCCGCCCAAAAATCTTTGCCTCTCTTTTGAACTTCCGCAACAGTTGCACAAGTGGTATCAATAACTATCTACATCACAAAACCAAAGAAACCCGTGAATTCAAAGTCGAAAAGCATAGCAAGTATAAATATCACGATGAAACATGCATTACCATGAGCAGTAGGTTAGGTGTCACAAGTTCAAGTTTAGCATGCTTATACAACGAGAAACGCTAATAGCTCCAAGCAATGTTATCAAAGCCGCGCTTAAGCCCTGAAGCGAGGCTCAAAACATGTTGAGCACTTCGCCTCGCTTAGCGTGTGCTTCAATGTTGTCACAAGGCTCCAGACATACTTTTCCTTGCCAATGAATGTAATCGTGGAGAGGTGACACTAAGCAATTGATATTTCACTTTATCATGAATTTTCTTCAATTTCTTTGTCCATATATTTGGTGTTTATGCTTATAGATATTAGCCTTGGACTACACATACATATTTGTAGTTTTTCTCCATTTGTGGCTTTTTTCCTTAAAGCTCACGTTTTATTTTGTGCTTTACGCTTAAAGCCCCAACTGACTTTAGAGCTCTTTTGTGCTTTTCGCTTTTTATAACACTGGCTCCAAGCAGTAAGTTATGCAAACATAATCACAGACACGACACTGGGCACGCTATATGCAGTAGCTCAATGTGCAACTATTTCTACTGTACCACAGATCAATGAGTTATTTACAGATTAGCAATATCAAAACCAAGCTTCACAAACCTCAGTTCCAACTTTGAAAAGAAACGATGGATCGGCCAACATTCTGTTCCGCAGCATAGCACATGACTTCATTGCAGCTCCCAGCCAAGCTGACCCCTACATTCACAAAACACAGACTGCCAATTAAAGAACAATCAAAATGCACAATTTCAAGAAACCATTTTGTAAACAGGTTAATCATTTTCAACAACAACTACAGGTTAATCATTTTCACCTAATCAAATTTTACCTGCAAGTCCAAATATCTAAGCAGAAGTAGCTTTCTGATCCCAACACTCTTTGCAGCCTCTATCATATCAGCAGGAAGTGTTGCCCCACGAGCCTCTGCCTCTCTCATCACATCCTCAAACTTCAGTAATGGCCCAAATTCCTCTTCTTCCTTATCACCTTCCCCATTGTCCCCTCCCCCACCACCCCCACCCCC